ATAATGAAGACCAAGGAGAATTCTCAGTAAATGCTCCCTATTTTTGTTTCTTCCACCCTTTCTTTGTTTAGTGGTAACATTTAACCCATGGTTAGCTCAGCTTTACCTCTAGTGCTTTTTCACATGTTGATTGATGAGGGAAGGCAGGCTTTGAAGCGCTATCTTCTCACAGACAGGTGCAATGTTTTAACTGTGAAAGAGTTGACATGTGAATTATTTGTAATAAGGGAGCCATCTAAACACACCATTTATAAAGGACAAAAGATGGTGACCTAACGTGATGCCATGCCACTTTTGAATCCTTAGTTGTTTTCCATCTGACTGTTTCAAGATTTGCCATCCTTATGGCAATGCGTGTTTCCCCCCATTGCTAAATTCATGCTGTAAAAATCAAGCAATTAATATAAATGAACCTCTTATTCATTTGCCAGGCATTTTCTGTATCTGTGCTCTGCACATTTTATTTAATATTTTATATCAAGGATCAAAAACTATTTAAAAGTTGCTGAAAGAATATACAGAATGCTGTCCAACTCTGCTACCTTGTCATTGAGAAGATATAGCATGCACACTGCAACCTATTTGCAGGCTGAATCAAAGCAACTACATGACACCAGAAAAGTTACGTGGATAAATGTTGATAACTGCTTAATTTCTGTGGCTCACAATATTGGCTCTGATTCAACAAAACACTTAATCATATGTTCGGCTTAAAATACCTGCTTAAAGTTAATCACATTATTGAATTGGAATCTCTGGTCTTCTGAATTGCTAAAAAAAACTCGTTATAGCTCCAGCATAATTATTGGTTATGATATGCTGAAAAATAATGAAACCACATATGACAGAAATAAAATGACATCTCCTACGTAACCAGACTTTTCACTATACTCAAAATTTAATAAAACATGTTTTATGTCTGCAGGTCAGGAACTAAAGAACAAATTAACTATTCAAGTGAAAGGTTAAAGATCTACTACCAAGTAATGAAATGCCAGGTGTTTATGAAACTCCAGAGTCCTGTGGGGGGAAAAGTAGAGAGGAAAGACAGGAAGAGTTCTGAACCTATGGGTAAAACAACATAAACAGGATACCAAAAAAGAGAAGTGGGAGGGAAAACAATAATGAAGTATGGCTCAATATGTGTGAAATCAGAGCCATAATTTCATCCTGTCAGAGAATAAGAAAGGAATGAACCATGAAGACACAGAAAAGGAGGGGGGGACAGTCACCATAAATCAATAATCAACATGTAAATGGGACGTTGAATAAGAACCTTATTAATTAAAAGTAGAAGTAGGATGGATTAGGATTAAGAGACACAACCACTTTAGTGATGTTAGCCTGTGGTGTGGGCTCCCAAGGAGAGTGATGGGAACCTCAATGTTTAGCACATTTATAACTATACTGTGTCAAACTGCACATTAAGGCTACTGTATTACAAATAACACATGGTAATAATTAGTACAGAGATGGACTAAGTGACCAAACAGCTATTTTCCAATTCTAGATTCTTCAAGATCCCCCATAGCTCTGTCCTTCCTTTTACCTGACAACAGGCTGAGCCCCACTGTGGTTTCTTTGAACCAGTGTACAGCCAGCTTAGCCAGCCAGCTGGAGATTCCCTTACTGTAGGAGGTCTGATGTATAGCCAATATACGGCGACCAGATAGCAAGTGTGAAAAATTGGGACACTTTTTTGCGGGGAGCTATAGTTGCATATATAAGACAAAGCCCCTAATATTGGGATGGTTCCAATAATATCAGGATGTCTGGTTACCCAAAGCCAATGTAACTGGCGCTCTGCCACCCAAATCAGAGATGTGGCCAGCGCAAGCTGTACTCTGGTGATCCCCAGCTGACAAACAGCTCTTCAGAGGACATTGCAGCTGGGACATAGTGTAGAACAGCCCTCAATCTGCTCAAAACTATGCTGCCATGGAGCCACAGGATGCCTCTTTGAAACTCCCTTACCCGGGCTCAGCAGTGGTTTGAGCCTCTTGTCTCTTATTGTGTCATCTCTTCTGCTCCACCAGACTTTTCGCCCTGGTCATCAACTTTACTCGCAGCCCTCTTTGCACTTTCTTGCACACTAGTCCCTACTCCTGGCATGAGCTGCTTGAGCTTCTATGAAAAGACACCACCTTCAACTCATTCAAGCCCCTTTTTAAGATCCACCTTTGCCATTATGCCTACATGAAATTAACCAGGTTAAGGCATATTTTCCCAGAATTATTTAAAAACCTTTCCTCATACTGCCATGCCCATGCTGATTAAATGCATAATCTTGGCCTTCTAAGCACCTTGGAGAAGGCATTCTGTTTTCTTTCTGTTTTGGAAGGCACTTAATAATACATCTTTGGGTGGCCTTAGAAATAATCATAGGAAAAAATGAGGGAACCCTTACCCTTAAAATAGGCCTTTTCAAAAACTTAAAAGATCTCCTTCACATTCTATCTTTGCAGGATACCAAATGTTGTGGTATCACTTGACACAATATAATGCCATGTCTAGGTGAAATTTTCAAGAAAGCTCACTCGGTCTAACTCTACTCCTGTTGAAATCCATATGGGTTCTAATGGCAACAGAGTAAAGGCCAATGCTGAGCAGTTTTGAAAATCCCACCCTATATTTCTCTGTCTTCCTCAGCTATCCAGCAGATATCCATGTCAATGTTTCTTAATTGGTGGGTCACAATCGTTATGGGGGAAGAAAGGGGGGATCATGAAAGGCAATTGGGGAGATGGGGGAGGTTTGTGAGGTATTGAAAATTTTATTATAATCTAAAGCAAAGAAAATCTCTCTCCACCATTGCCCACACAGCCTTACTTTTCAGAGTCAAGTATTGTCTCTCAGCAGTGTGAAACACACACACAAATAAATTATGTAGGCTTATCTTTGTTATCATTGGTACATTTTTATTACCTTACAGTAAGCGCAAGGGGTTTGCAATTTTTTTTTACTTTAAATAAGAGGATGCCATCCTGAAAAGGTTGGTAAAACTGCCCTAGGTGATAGAATCTAGCGAAGGAAAAGATTTATTGAATTACCTAGTCCATCTCCCCGCTATTGCAGGACTGTTAGCTGCTGTAAATGTACTTGTATTTTGACCATGACTAATTTAGTTTAACTCAGACAAACTTTGGGGTTGTATAGTGCCTGGTATCAAAAGATCACAAAGCACTTGCCAGACACTTATTAAATAAGCCTGACTTCCCCCTTGTGATGCAGTCAGTATTATTGTCGCCAATTTATGAATGAGGAAACTGAAACCCGGAGCTGCCTTGCCTCAGGCCATATTGTGTGTCCGTGACAGAACCAAACAGAACCCACCAGTAAGCCCCAGCTGAGCCGAGTTCCATTCAGTAGACCACCCTGCCTTTCTAGTAGCTGACGTGTGCTCTCTGAGTGGGTCATCAATGGCACACAGGCAGCTGCACATATCTGGCTGAAGAGTGCTTCAGCTAGTATGGTAGCAAGCCAGGCAAGCAGGACTTATATATATTATTTAGGGATGAAGAATTGCTTACAGATTTTTCACATAAAAACAGTGTGTAGTCTACCCACTGTGAATACAGTTAATTTACTCATCTTTATGCTTCCCTGATCTTCATCCTCTGAAATATGCTGGAAGGGCAGATGTATAGTCTGGGATGTTTTCCAGATTTCTTTCTTTTTTCCCAGTGAGGCGCTCAGCACAATAGTGAATTAAACAGGATCCTTGTGTATTATAACAATGCCACCAGTGGTGCTGAAGATGTGCTTAATGTGCATGCTGCATTGTGAGCTAATCGAACTGAACCACAATCCCTTTGCTGTTATTCTCCCCTGCAGCCTCTGTGCGGCAGCAGAACACTACTGCACACTCTGTGAAGTGCCAGCTTCCTTTTCGAACATCAGCGCTTCAAGGGAATGTACCCTGGGGTATGGAATTAGAGCAAGGGATTGGGAGTCAGAGCTTTACTCACAGCTCTGCCACTGAGTCTTTGTGTGGCCTTGGGCAAATCACTTAGCATCCATGTTTCTCCATCTGCAAGGATCCTAACATATCAGTGCCTCAGAGAGGGATTGTGAGGCTTAATTAATTTTGTAAATCACTTGTAGGTTACCAGATTTGCAAAGTAGCAGGTACCAATTGCATTGAGCCACCAGCACCCCAGTGGCTAACATGTCATATTGTGCTAGATATAGCAAGTATTTCCACAGCCTTCACAATCTCAAGTACAATTCCACAAATGCTGCAGTGAATAGGGTACATAATGCACAGAAATTCAGCCTTAGCTTTAAGTCTCAGTTTTTTTCTAGGTTTTCTCATTCACAGATCCTGAACCCTACATGATAAAAAAATTGCACTGGGTTTTAGCTCCCTGAATCTTATTCACGTTTTTCTGCTCTCACTTACAATGGTATAAATGAAGCATAACTACATTGAAGTTAAGAGAGTTTACACTGTTGTAAACCCAGTGTCAGATCAGAATAAGACTTATTGACTTAATTGTTATTACTATTGATTTATTATTTGTATTGCGGTAGTGGCTACGCACCCCAGCCGTGGACCAGGACCCCATTGTGCTATGTGTTGTAGAAACAGAATAAAATGATAGCCCCTACCCCAAACAGCTTGCAATCTAATGGGATTTGTCCAGCTAACTATCCAGCTCTTGCTTCGAGAAAGTAGGCTACCTTACCCTTGTTTTGGTCTGTTTAATTGTATTATTTCTTGGTGACTCTATCCTCTCACTGTATGTACCTTTAACTAAGGCATGCTGATGACACTATAATTATCAACTGAATAGTAGAACTCTGAAATTCAAATGGTTCCATATGCATCTGTCTATCTAAGGTACTTATATGCCAGTGACCTAGAGGTAAAAGGCTGCATAGTCAGTCCCTGAGCCAACCGTCCCCTCTGTCTCCTCTACTCCCCACCTAACATGTACTCAAATTTTATTTTTCCTGTGCTTTTAATGCATTGTTTTCTGCTTTGTCCAATCTCACAGCTGAAGGCTGACGAGAGAATCATCAAAACGGAATACAGGCTGCTGATCCGCAGCCTGCAAAGAAAGGACACAGGGGCGTATTACTGCAAAGCACAGGAGCACACGTTCATTCACACCATCGTGAAGTTAAATTTGAACGTCATAGAGAACGGGCACATGGAAAGCACTCAGAAAACGGAGGACAAAGACAGATGGATGAGAGATTTGCTTACTGAGTCGTGGCTGAGGTACAAGGATTACATCCAACTCGTCAGCAGCCCCAGCTTCAGCCTGGATGAGTATTGTGAACAGATGTGGCACTGGGAGAAGCGGCGGCAGTGGAACAAAGGTGGGGCAAAATGGAAGCACATGCAGGAGATGAAGAAAAAGCGAAATCGAAGGCACCATGAACCTGTCAGCAGCCCACATGCCAGGCCTACATCTATGTAGTTTTATAGTCTATTTAAAGAAAGGACGTTTAACGTGCAAAAATACTGTGTTCTGTTTTGTGCATCCTTCCTATTAATTAATATTGCTTCATACTGAAATTAGATAATGCACAGTCATTATTAGTCTGTATATGACTGCACTGTAATACTGGAATACTTTAGCAAATGGCAAGTTCCTTATTTGAGCATCGCACTCAAGGCAATAATTCCAAATCTGGGTTTTTTCCCCAGAAATTCAGATTTTTTAGCTAACACTTAGATCACAAGAAGCTGATTCATGAACATGTGGGTGTTTCACAGCTTCCCTAGCATAATTTTTATATGAGATTTAAAGTCTGTGTTATAGTGCATTATTAATCATTCCACCCCAGAGATGGCTGCAGTTCAGGGGTATGTGGATGTATTTGTAAAAGTGCTTTGATCTTGTAAGGATGGGAGGTGCCATATAGATACAGGCCATTTTGTGACAGATCTGCAAAACTATACTAAATTACCCATTGGGCATATATTTAGGTACATGGGTGGCATTTGCTGGCACATAGAAGCAAAGCAAAAAAATCAAATTAAATAACAGCTTAAGAGTAACGCTCGTTTCCCCATAAAAAATGTAATCACATTTTAAGAGGAGGAAATATAGAGCTTTATTCATTAGGGCATAAGCAGCCTCTAGTTTGCAGTCCATCTGCTGAAATGAAATGTTGACTCAAATTGAAACTGCCAGCAAGATACTCGAGAGTAAATGTCCTAAGCAGTGCGTGGTAGGTATGTGCACAAACCCTATTAACAAATAATGGGATTTCTGCCTTCACCTCTATTGTCTCGCTAAAGATTTTACCCTGAATGTCTCCACTCACCTCTACAACTCTAACCCCCGGCTGGCTTCATTTTCTGGAGTATGGTTAGTTTGTTGTGGGAAAAAAAGAGGAGCGGAGAACACACACGCACAAAAACCCTCCCAAACTTGATGACAAAAGACAATGAGGGAAACATATTTGGTGACAGAAAGAAACTGACAGTGCTCTTACGCCAGGTATAACAATGGGGAGAGAGCAGACATTCCTCAGACTTGTGTATTTGTTTTATAAAAGCTCTTGTGTATTTCAAACAAGGCATTGTGTTGTTGGAATTAATACTATTTTATTAGAATTAAATAAAAACAAAAAGAGCCCACATGTAAATAAACAGAAGTAGAAGTTAGAGATGAGCAGCTTTGCGATTTACAATAACATCATTTGTAAAGTGTTCCTAGTTTTACTTTCTGCGCTTTAATAAGATAAATCTTCTTGTATGAGCAAGAGACACTGTGCTTCCTTCAGATCTGATCTACACCAGTGTAACTCCATTGGCTTCATTGGACTTTCTCCCAATTTACACTAGTGTAAGCAAGATCAAAATCAGGGCTATTGCCTCTTCTCATGCTTCGCAGCCCCACTCTACCAAACCTCCCCCTTTCTGCCTTTCACGCCTCTTTGAGTGTGAAATGACAAATTAGCCACTTCCTCACATGGAAGAAAGCTTTGATGGATACTAAACCGACAGACTTTACTTGTTTCTCATGCATTCTACATGTCTTGAGAGCAAAGTCTGTGGGAACGCCATGTAATTGGTGTGCAATTCATTAAGGAACCAAGAACTTTGGCTCTGCATGCTGGAGATTATCCCTATCCGCTACCCAATGTGTGTGTGCATTCAGTTCCTGATCAATAATTGTGTCCATACAATCTGTGCCATTGTACATTTCCTTTCTGATAAATGATACAAATATGGTGATGTGTTTTTCAGATTGTAGAAAGGAACCTCAGCTGACTCAAGTTCTTGTAAAAAAAAAAAACAACAAAAAACTAAAACAGACTGTGCATGTATTGTATAAAGCCAGGGATATTGTGTCCTTAATTTTAGATTTTTTGTTTTTTCTTTGAGATACATTAGTTAATTAGAAGGTATTAGGTAGTTTGTGTACAGTACTTTGATAGTGCACTCTGCAAGTGTTAAATATTATAAAAGATGAGAGGGGAGTTTCATTATACAGGACATTTAATCAAAGAGACTGATGTTCTAGGCTTTTGTTAGTAAGCTTAGTCCTTACTACTCTGAGTAGCCTATTAATGTCTATAGAACTTTTCACAGTAGTAACCATTATGCTCAGAAGTCAGCTTGTACAGCAATAGCACCTTAGGCCAAGATTTTCAAAAGTGACTAGTGATTTTGACTGCCCTGATATTTGGTGCCCAATTTGAGACTCCAGAAGGGGTATTATCCTGTAAATATGAGGTCCCTTTAAGAAATCTCAAGTTAGACACCCAAAAAATGAGACATTTAAAATCTTGAATCACGTTCGAAAATTTTTGCCTAAGGATGACTGCAGCCACCATACAGAACCCACCGATGTATTCCTTGTTGTATTTTATCAGTCCAGAGAGTACCATCTCTCAGACTTGGTCCTCCGGGGAATGAGTGGTGCCACGCCATGACGAAGCTAAGGTGCTAGCATCAACTAATCCATTTTAGGCTGATGCTCACAAGTACTGACAAGGGGCCTGCTCCTGTTACCACTGAAGTCAATGGGAGCAAGACTGGACTCAGAATTGTAATTATTGATTACAACACAAACCCTACTTACTTTCTTCATGAAAGTAGAACCATTGGACTTTTTTAGGGTTGCTAACTCTCCCTGATTGTCCTGGAGTCTCCAGAAATTAAAGATTAATCTTTAATTAAAGATTATGTCATGTGATGAAATCTCCAGGAATTCGTCCAACCAAAGTTGGCAACCCTCGACTTCAGTGCCCCCACTCAATGAGATAAGGTGCGCAGGATTTGGCCCTAAATAAGCTGTTTGTGTTTGTTCAGTACTTTTTCCCATCTTCCTTGAGAGCTGAACAGAACTGGTTTCCTTTCGGTTTAAATAGCTTTGCAGAGTCTAGTGCTACAATCCTCGCACGAAACTCCCAGTCACCTTCAACAGGAGTCTTGAGGGCCTAAGGGCTGCACCACTGGGACTGTGAGCATTAAAAGATTGAATTAAAATGTTACTACTCTTAAATTCAAGAGCTATTGTTTTATTTTAAGTGTTCTTGCAATAGGATTCCTCTCAGAGGACTGACCTCATCACTCCTGGGTGTAGTAGCAGAGTGAAGTCCCAAGCAAGGAATGAGGCCACTTCTATCCTGGGGAAATAAATTCAATATCCTCTAAGTCGTTATGTATATTGGATACATACCACCCCGGGGAGGGGTATTTAATAATATTGTGCAGATAAAAATCTGTGGTTCAATACATTTTATAAGCGATGTATGTTGAACTAGCATACTGCTTCTCGTACACAGCAGTCGATGATACAAGGGGCACTGGAGACCAGTAAATTAGCTAGATAGTCCATGGAACACTGAGGGAGGGTAAGAAGGGATTTCTTTAGACAGTTGTTTGTTATTCAGTCAATAACCAAGGTCAGGAGTAAGAGTGGTGGATCCTTCTGTAATGTATAATCCCAAAGACAGGCTCAAAGGAGAACAGAATGAGCTAACTCAGGGAATTGTAGCGACAAGAGCCAGACAAGAAAGGATTCCCTTCCATATATAATTTAAAGGCACAAACCTGGGTCTACTTAACTTTCAAAATGAGGACTTGACGGTCCATTGTGCTGCTGAACTGTACAATGAGCCACAACATGCTTGTAGTTAAAATGAAACTGAACCCAGCCTCCTTAAAGGACTCAATAAACAGTAATGCTACCCAAAGTTTGGGTTAAGCATGGAAAAAGTTACCTCCACATTAATAACTGAAGGTTTTAAACAGATCCCCTAGTGCAGACTTTAAAAAAATACTTTGTTCCAATGAGTAATAAGTACTCTTCTCCCACCCCAACACCCCTCCTAAAAGTCACCCCCCTGAAAAAAAACTCCAAAAAACCCCCAAACTTCCCTCTCACCCCACTTCAGAACATAACTGGTGTTTGCCTGAGTTTCATGAGTTTGAAACAGGCTGTCAGAACAGCCAGTGCAGCTTGGATAGTAATTAGAATGCTGAAAATTGATACAAGCTTTAAGATTCAACAAGTTGCTAAATATAGTAGTAGTCCAGAAGTCAGTTAAAATAAATCTGACAGTGGGATTAGCAGACAAAGGAATAAAGCTTTTTAACACTTACTCTGATAAACTGGTTCCTTTGCTGGAAAACATTCTAGGGACATGTGTGAATACGTATTCATACCATAGGCAAACAGTTTTCTGAACAAACAATTAAATTTACGCACATACTGAGGAGCCAAGATCCTTGATTTTGCCAGTCCTCAACTAGACATTGGACCCTGATCCTTATCACAATTATACTGATGTATGCAATTAAACTTAATGGAATTACTCTTGGTTTACATTCATGTGAGATCAGAATTGGGCCCATAGTCTAAAACGCTCTGAAATTTTAATGAAATCTATGTAAGTCTTGATATGCATCTACCATTTACAAATTCCTTATAAAAAATTAATAAACGATTAGTGGACATTCATTTTCCTACTAAACTGCTGTGATGTGTATGACGGTTTTGTAGGGACCTACATAAATAATTGGATGCATTTTATTTTATGTGTAACACAAGGTTATTGCAACTGATTAATATGAGTTAAAAATACTTGCAGAGCCAGTTCAGCCATTGATGTCAGTGACCAAAGCCCCATTGTTTTCAGTAGAATATAGATCTGAACCTAATCAAAGTAATTATAGCAAGTTATTCCAAGATGCAGCCTAGAGTGTAGATAACTATGTAGAGATTCATTATACAGAGGAGAATCAGGAGTTAACTGCATGGAAGGCAATGGAATTACACCTGCGTGACAGAAAAATCAAATCCACATGTCTCTCCTATATATTCTGTTACAATTTATGAAAATGTAAGTGGTCCCTTATTATATTTTACCTTAGTGTCACAAATATTACTCAGAATTAGGCTTCTGTGATTAGCTAATCTGTGAAATCCTTTGTAATTGTAATCCAAATTTTGAAGTT